GTATTTTCATTTGTTTAAGGGAAATTGGCTACAACACAAATCATTGGTTTGTCTCAACCTTTTTTGAATGAAAATGTTAATCTTTATTCTTGCCCTGGAGAAATTGCTTCAACAGCTGCAGTTGAATTATTTGGAAATAGCTCTTGAAAATTTCAAAAGCTTTGTGAGCAATATGGAAACCAACCTCCTTGACGCTTACAAGAAAATGGACATGAAGAACATCTCTTCTACGTATACCACATAACCGGGGATTCCCAAAGGGAGCAGGCCTCTCTTACTCGGAGCTGTGATATCATCCAAAGAGGGAAAATTATCCAGTCAAGAATAGAAAAGGAGAGGTACGAATCGACCCTACCTGCCGCCGTTGGATGACCCAACACTCAGTGATGCCGGCGTAAGGTAGTACTTACTTTTCCGTGAACGAAGAAAACATCTGAAGAGGCCAGGAAATAGGCAGAGAACTGAAGAGATGCGTGGCAGAGCAGATCCAGAAAGCACGTGGAGGAGCCCGGAATTGGCTGTGGAGATGGGATTAAATCCTTCAGGCCCACATTATTATCGTCTTCATCCCAAAACCTTAGAGATTTGCCAGGCTCATAATAGAAGAATATCCACATAGAAAATGGAGAAGAATCTGTAAAATGGTTGGCCAGAAGGAAGACGGAGGGAGAGGTGCTGAAGACTGGTAACAATAGCGCATTAGCAAGCGCCATTGAAAAGGACAGCCATATTCTAAGGCACTATTTTGGGAAGATCCCTGTACAGAGACTCAGAACGAGCAAAATGGATTGCAGTGGACCAGCAGTTATTAAGCCGGAGGATTAAATTTCAAATATTCTTATGGATGTATGATAGTTGATTATACAGCACTGATGAATAACATTGCAATAAATATTTAAAAAAATGCCATTTTTAGCGTTCTAGTCAGTGTTTGAAGTTTTTCGTTAAATGAGATCTCATTCATAGTTTTTTAAAACGTCTCATAAAGAAAAATACTTTATCGTAAAAATATGAATTTCACCGCAAAATAAAAAACAGAAAACACATCATATGATATAGCTTCTCATTAAAGTAAACGTATTTTGTCATATAGACTTCTTACACAAACCAAATATAAACGAAAAACAAAAAGAAATAATCTGCGAAATTTTTGCAGCGATTTTTTTTGTTTTCTTTACATGATCTTTTAAATTATTTTAAAGCGATAAAGCGTTCTCTCATTAGTATAAAAAAGAAGAAAATAAAAAGAGTTCTGTTTTGCAACATCGTTTTAATTCGCTTATAAATTTCGCTGTAGAAGTTAAAATGCACAAGAAATATTTTTTAGTATTAAAAAGTATAAGTCGATTTCTCCTTTTTCGTTATTTGATCTAGTGAACGTAAAGCTGTTTTTTTTTTTTAGATTATATTTTAGTGGACAAAATCAATATTTTTACAATATAGTATTTCTCTTTATGAGACGTATTTAAAAAATGTAAATGAGATCTCATTTTATAAACTCAGAATTTCACAAGCTGATGAAAGCTGTAAGTTTATTAAAAAATAGGTATCCATATTTTTAAAATTATTGAAAAAATAATGAATATTGGATATTTAAGCTGTAAGCTGTATTGAAAAACTAAGTTTTAAGCTGTATTAAAGTTAATTAAATAATAAGTGTTGAATATGGCATTTCAGTAAATAGAACATAGAACTTATGGATTTTATGTTTTGTTTTGTATTTTTTTTTTTTTAAATAAAAAATATGAGTACTCAAAAATATCTATTTTTTTTAAGAAATAAAAGGTTAAATATATTGCTTGAAAAAGTTTTTATTTAAAAAAAAAAAAAAAAATAGGAAATGAAAAAATTTTTAAATATTAATTTTTAAAACATAAAAAAAAAATTATTTTGTTTCGAACATATGTAACTCAAAAAGTAAACAAAAAATTAAAAAAACCTTTCTAATAAACAAATATAAACCTTCACTGAAAAGAACCCAACAGAATAAAAAAAAACCTTTACCCACAAAGCTATTAAAATCTGTCACACAAATAAAAACGTTCAACTAAATAAAAAATTACAATCGCTTCACGATGTACATAAAATGTCTCATGAATGTCTCATAAAATATCGGATCATATTTTACTGATTGACTTTCTGATTCTCTTTCTTTTGGATTTTATAAAAAAATTTTTGCAATGGTATCACGCCAACTGAATGAGACATTAAAATTTCTTTTATAATTTCGTCTCAAAATAATAAATACTATTGAAAACAAAAAAAAGAATAAACTTTGGTAATTAGATAATTTCAAAATAAAAAAAATCTGATGTGGTCAGCACATAACCGACCGCATTGTGTATTGTCTAGTTAAATGAAAGTGTTACAGAATATTATAAAAATGTCTGTTAAATACTTCTTTCCAATTTTTAGGACATTAGTAAGCTTATAGTTAACATACTTAGAAAAATGTAAATTTGGCTCTAAGTAGAGTTTCGCTTTGTGCTACCCGAATTCCCTGAAATGCTCGCCAGTTAGTTTGGGTAACAACCAGAACTCAAATATCAAATTTCAAGAAATTCTATCAATTTGTTCTGTGGATATGGTGAAAAATGTAAAATCGGCCCGCAAATCAGTTCTCGAGCCCTGATCTTTCCAAAAAAGTTATATGTTCATTGCTTTAATATGAGGAATTCATATATTAAATTTCAATGAAATCGGTTGATTATTTCTCTTTATATACACAAAAGTGTATGTTTGGCCCGTAGTAAACGCCCAGTTGCTGATGCCTGATTTCTTCCAAAAGTTAGGAATTTTTGCGTATGATCGAGCAAAGCTTATATATGAAATTTCAAGTAAATCGGTTCAATACTTTCTTCAAAATGGTGAAAAATGTAAAATCGGCCCGCAAATCCGTTTTCGAGCCCTGATCTTTCCAAAAAATTTATATGTTCATTGTTTTAATACGAGGAGTTCATATATTAAATTTCAATGAAATCGGTTGATTATTTCTCTTTATATACACAAAAATGTATATTTGGCCCGTAGTAAACGTCTAGTTGCCGATGCCTGATTTCTTCCAAAACATACGAATTTTTACGGACGGTCGAGCTGAGCTTATATATAAAATTTCAAGTAAATCGGTTGAATATTTTCTTGAAAATGTTCAAAAATGTAAAACAGGCCCGCTAAAAAGTGCAGTTCCCGAGGCCTGATATATACCAAAAGTTGATCGATCCGTGCCATGGTGGAAACAAACTTACATATAAAATTTCATCAAAATCGGTTCAGCCGAACTTGAGATACACGCGTGCACACACAGACCGACAGACCGACAGACCCACAGGTTGCTAAAAATAGTTTATTTACACTTCCCTACTATGGAGAAGTACGTTCCCACCGAAAACTCGATATGCAAAATTTGTTGCCATCACATAACCTACCTATTGTTTACACAATACGGTCGGTAAAAATATAAATTCAAAATTTCAGTTTTCTATCTTCAGGGTGTAAAAGTTTCGTAAACAGATACACAGACCGACTGACGGATGGCCGGACGCTCGAGCAGAATGAAACTAATAAGCACTTTTGAAGTAAACAAGAGCGTATAAAAAACAGCGAACTGAAATGAAACTAGATTTTATTAGATAAAAATTTATTTTTAAAAATATTATGTTATTTTTCATTTCATAGAATTTACATTAAAAACGATCGAAGCAATAGAAATGAGTATAACCTTAACGAATATGTCACAAATTTCGTAAGTCAGTTTATAGATATCAAGAAAATCTTATCTCTCTAAACAAAATAAAATGCTATATACAAGAATTATATAATTTAAATTATAAATAAAAGATAGTAAATACTAAATGTTGATTAGTTTTATTAAAAATCAAAGATTCTGATAATATAGATAGGATTGAATGTTGGTATCGAGCTTTTTTATCACATTATCACATGCATTGAAATACAGTAAAGTTTGGTTTTTTTTTTTTGGGCAGCTAAGTAAGTAGAAAGTGGGCTAAGGCAAAGGCAAATAGATCTACTCACTTTAGTATAGAATGCGGAGATCCTTGCTCCGCAAAAAGCCAAAAAATATTATAGTAATTTCTTCCTTTTAAATAGTTTTGGAGTTCTTTTTACGTGAAATAAATGGTACTGCTTCCCAAACCCCGGAAACAGCAACCCAAAAATGAAATGTCAAGTACACCTGTTTTTCCTTGAAATGCCTGAGCTTTGTCTAAAAGCTGAATAAACCTTACTTTATAGAAAACTGTCAAGGTTAAAAAAAAGTTGTTATTCATTCACATTTTTTATAGTGTTATAGTACATACGAGTATATGCACAACATGCCTGAAGATCATGTTGTGCTGGAGCCTTAAGCCAGCATTACATGTCTAAAAGATAGAACTAACTCTTTTGAAAATTAATTTAAGAAAGAATTATTTAAAAATATGAAATTTAGTCAGAACTCTCAAATTTTGGAGAGGTATATAAATCCTAACCTATTAATGAATAAAAGAATATTTTTAGTACAAACCAAGTGATAGAAAAATATTTCCAAAAAAGGAGAAAAATGTGATATAATTATCATCATTTGCACCATCAAAATTCTAAATTTTAAAACCTTCAAATAATTTTTTTATAACAGTTTTATAACGTTAATTTTATAATTTGATAATAATTCTTGTAATTTAATTAATATAATAAATTTGTAATTTAATATATCCTATAAAGTTTGGTTTTGAAGCTTTTGTCCGTCCTTTTACAGTCTTCAGCCAAAAGTGCAAAAAAAAATTCGACCATCAAAAGCCGATATTTTTTTTTAGATTCAGATAACTGAATCCAAAAATTGTAAGCATAAACGTGTTTATAATTATATTACTTTAAAAGATTCGGATAATACTGTATACTAATTGCTGAAGTTGATTAAATTAAAAAAAAAATAATAAAATTTATATTTCAATGGAAAGATTCCTGTTTTAATTTATATTATTCCTTTTTTGAACAGAACTTACCTTGCTCCAACGAGCAGACTATTTCCATCACGTATTACTAATTTAAAATGATCCACAACTGATTCATTTCCAGTGAATTTTAGTAAATCATCTAAACCTGAAATAAAAACGAAAATTTCATTACTTCACATAATTTAATTAAACCGGAAAAGGAATATATCTTAACAAAAAAAAAGTTTTTTATTAACATGTAATTTTATATTGATGGGTATTGAAAAGTATGAATCAAAAAAAATTCAAATGTTTTAAAGAATTCACTGTGTGAAAATTTAATTTTTTCACTTCTTTTTTTAAATTTTTCATTATAACGTAATATGCTTGGGTAGATATATTTTTGTGTATATTGTATATTTATGTATAACGTTAAGTATTATTTTTAAAACTATAATACCCGACTTTTACATTTTTAGACATTTCCTTTTTAATACAATGAAAAGCTAACAGGACCAAATAATTTTGAACACATTACACATGAATTTAAAGTTATAATATATGGCCTTAATTCTCAGACCTTATGTTATTACTTGTTTTTCATACTTGCACGAAAAAATAAAAGAAATAATATATTTGTAAAGATTTAATATTGTTAATACTGTTAATTTAATATTGTACTGATAATATATACTTTTTATGCGTTTATGTGATAGCGAGCGATAGAGAAGGCATACAATCGTACCAAGGTGGTAGCATTCAGGGGGCTGCGTGTCCTGGTAAACTGGCACATTAAATTCACTTGTGCTGTCACACTCTGGGAGGTGTTGCTCACCTATGAACATTTTTGTGGCGGAACGAGTTTTTGTTCCATCAGCGCAGTGAAAATGAATATACATAGACACTATTTATCGCGAGCCCTGTCTACATGCGGGACGGCAAGGAAGATGTGGCCAGAATGGGATCTTAGGAAAATGGATGAACTACTGTCTCAAAGGGATATTCCTGCTTCGCGGCACTCTATACGGGACACTGGAGCATGTATGTCGATGGAGCATGTGGCTAGGCTGGGACTGCCCTTCAGCACACTGTGTCTCCTCTGCCGCGAAATGGACAAGAAGAAGATAATTTTTCACTATCTCTACGTGTTCGACTATGAGCGGGCCCAGACTGGTCACGAGATTCGGAGCATGAGTGACGGAGCTCGATGGGATATTGAAGATAAAATTCGGAGATTTTAATAGATTCCTGAAAAGAAGCAGTTGGCTCAGATAGGCCCTAAAATCGTGTGCTCAATAACAATCTGGTACTCATGGAGTAGTGATAGCAAAATGACATATTTGTGCCAATTGGGGTGCAATGAACCTGCTGCCACGTCAACCAACCAACCAACCAACCATGGTTAAGCTTAAGTTTACTAAAGAAAACTTCAACGTTTGTTTTGCATATTGTTCTTCGAGACGTAATATAAAAAACAATAATTTTAAGGATTAAAAGTTACCTACCTAGGAATTGATGTGTTGCTATCATTCTAAAGGCAATCTGAATTATTGGCCTAGAAATGCCAATAAAATCCCAAATCTTATTTACGTTTACATATCCAAAGAGATTTCATAAAAATTTTTATTAGAAATAACAATTCCAATTCTGTAGACTTAAAAAACGCTTTATTAATTTAATTGAGGAAGCCGGCTGGAGAAATGCTAGATTCTCTTAATTCAATAAAATGTCAAGTAATTGCAATCTTAAAGCTATCTTAAAGGTATCTTAAAGCTCAACTGATTTGATAGAGCAAAAAAGAAGGGCGGACGTAAATGGCAAGTCACCCGGACCATAAAATGATAGGAAATAGACTTTCTTAAACCCTCGAAAGAAAAATAGAAAATTTGAAATCAATATAATACAAAAGTTATAGAAAGGACTTATCGGAAACTAAAGCAAGAAGTTATTCGTTATAGAATGAAGGCAATAAATGAAACCGCCCATTGAAAAATAGATGGATCGTTAGCAATAAAGGCAAAGCCGAACATTTGGAAAAAATTTTTCAACCAAATGAAATTAAATCTACTGTTTGTTTAGTAAATGATTTTGTAATGGATGAAATCACTATATGTAGTTCTATTTACTATAGGTTTTTTATTTAAAGTTAAGAAATTTACACTTTTACTGTAAAGAATCAAAAGAACGACAAGTACTCCCCGCTTAGAGAAATTAGAGTGGGTGTGATTTATTTTAAAGCAATATTCTGGGTCCAATATTATAATGAACATTATACAAGTGAATTGAGGAATGAAGATATGACTACATTTGCCAACAATACAGCATAATTAGCAATAGGATCTAGTGTTGAAGAATCGGCAAAGAAATTACAGGAAGCAAGAATAACTAAATGGTCAAATAAATGGAAAAAAGTTAATCTCATCGTAGCACATAAAACAAAAAACAAAAAAAAGTAATAATAACAAAAATTTTCGAGTTTTAAAAAAAAAAATTCAAAAAAAAATTAAAAATTCTGATTGAAAACTATGGTTCAAACCAAATTAATTGTTAAGACAAAAATTAAAGAACAATCCTCATGATAATCTATGTTGTATGGTTCTATTTATATGCAAGAAAATTGTGATACCCTTTTTTTCAACAGGCTGTAGCTCGAAAATGAGTACAATATAGAGGGGGTAAACTGCACCTCAAATTTTTGTCGTATGCGGCATGAATGGGATATCGTTATACAATAAAAGAGTGGGACAATCGACTCTTACTGCTTGCTTACTGTTTGAGAAACATAATGACTTTTTTTCAATTTCACAATTCTGTCAAGGGAATCTGGTGGCAGCTTATGTGCCCCTACAAGGAAGTCGTAACCTCATAATATATTCGGCCTACTTTGATAAAAATATAGAGTGCCCTCCTATGGAACTGGAACGACTAGTGGACTACGCTAGCCGAACTGAAAAGCAGGTGGTAATTGGTAATTTGTAAATAGGATTAGGGGGACCTCACGCTGGTCTGCCCTTTGTAAGTAATAGGATAGTACATTAGTATGATTATTATGTCACCCCATCCTCAAAAGGTTCTTTAGAGCCAGTCTTGCTTCTGGATATGTCCCGCGTACATGGTCCAGTGCGCTGGTGCCTTTCATTCCCAAACTTGGTAGGGAGATGACTAGGGATCCCAACTCGATTAGACCGGTCACTCTGTCGTCATTTATCATCGATACGTTGGAGGGAATTGGGGAGAGGTTCATGAGAGAAACTTCCTTTACTGCGATCACCTGTTTACGTATCAGTACGCCTATCAGGTGTCCAAGTCCACCAACATGGCTTTACTGAAACTCATCTTCAAAATGGAGAAGTTCTGGGAGCAAAAGGATTTCGCACAGGCCGCTCTTAAGGATACAAAGGGTGCTTTCAACAATACCTCATATGGCTCAAATATGGTCGCCCGAAGAAGGAGAGGTATTGACAAACTGATGTGTGGATGGATCTTGAGCATACTTGAGAGCAGGGCTGTGGATGGATCTTACGTATGCTTGAGAGCAGGGCTGTGCATGTATCCCTCGGCGATACGCGGCTTGTGGCTGCGACCTTCAGGGGGTGTTCAAATGGGGGAGTCCTTTCGGCGATAATCTGATCCCTTGATAGTCTACAATGTCGTCTACACGATCATTGCGTTATTTGTCAGGGATAATCGGTCGATTTGGTCATCATAATCTGGTCCAACGATGGTTTGTGGAGGCGGGGTTGACGGTAAATCCTTCTAAAACTGAGATTGTTCCTTTTACTAGGAGGAGGAAATTGGATGGACTACGGTCGGGCTTTTTGGATAGGAGATTGGCCTCACTGATCGTGTTAAGGTTCTGTGAGTTACGTTGGGTAAGCCATTTACTTGGAATTCGCATCTTGACATTGTGTTCGGCAGGGCCCGGCTCTCAAGACTGCAGAGAATCGGGTGCTTGGAGGTTTTGTTAAACTTGCCTCCAATGCATTTATTCACGCTTTCATAGTGCGTCGGAAATGAGGCAGGCAAAGCTCTTATTCCTTCCATCAAAAGGGCCAAGGAACTGTTGGCGTCTAAGAGGGGGAGGCCAAGTTGATGCTATAAATTGCACAAATTGGAACAACCTAGAAACCATTTCTGTAGATTTTGCCATGATGAAAATGAGACGGCGGAGCATATTACTCGTATCTACTTTTGTGAAGCACTTCAAGACCAGGAGGTGATTGACTCATTTTATAGGAATATGTGGTGGCACTCTCGGTAATTGCAGGAATCTGTAATAACGTGGCGATTATAGCCCTAGCTGGTGTTTTCTAAGTGGTGGGACGTTACAATAAGTTTTTAGGGCAGCACTGACCTGGTCTGTGGTTGACCCCCGACAATCTGCGAATGTAATCTTATCTAATATAACATTTAAGCAAGAGAACAGAGTAAATTTGTTAATTTTTTTTATTTTTATTTATAAATTCAAAGGATCAACAAAGTCGAAGTTTAACAGAACCTTTAACAGGCAATTTAGAAAAAAAAAGAAAACATACAAATATTAGATTCAATTCATATATCATATATCAAAAAAGTATGAGTTAAACCAATGTCCTGTATTGTAGAACTTTTCCCTTCAACAAGTGAAAATACTGTACATACTATATTTTTAATATTAGTTTCATTCATATACGAATATATTCCAAATATTGCATACGTTTAGGATGAGAGTTTATGCAATCATTGAAATAAAACAAAAAAAAAAATAAGGAAGCGTTAACCTAATGCTGAAATTTCTGGTTTATTTGTTCGCGTTAAGAAAAATAATTATATTTTTTGATGGTATGACATATACCGTTTATAAAAAAAGGTTTATATACTTGCGGGAAACCCAAAAACCGCACCGCTTTCTTTCACTCAATTTTGTGGCCTTTCTGTGCCGGATAGATCACGGTTTTTTTACTCCTGGAAATCCTGAAAGTTCGCTGATCGAAATTTTCAACCGAATTAGCTTTACTATAAGCTCAATCATGATATTGTTAAATAAATCTCCCCAGAATTCTAGAGATGTTCTAAAATAACATAATTTTCGGTTATGGGAGTTGAAGCACTCAATCGGAAAAATTGGCCTACCACATTCGGGAACTTTAAGTTCCATGGAGTTCTCCATTTAAAGTCATTTTTCTC